ATCCGGCAAGCGGTTGAGGCGGCGGCAGACTCCTGAAGTCCCAAGCATGGGTGTCAAATCCAGCGAACTATCCGTACACTTTCCGCAGCACTACCATGAAGCCATCACGAAAGAACACAAGCAAAGAAATTCCACGCAAGGCTGCGCCTGGGAAAGAAGAATGACAACGAGCATCGAACTTGGAACCAAAAGCATGACGATGCAGCGGCACGTTCAGCACGTAGTACGGTACGGCATGAGATATATGGACCATATGGATAGAGAACTACATTAACACAGAGCACAGCAACGAGGCGACATCGGGTTGCGGAGTCGATTCAGGTTTCTGAAAGAACCCTGGAGCTTCGGAAGGCTTCAGCGCATCGCATGACTACTGGCACCGGGCGGCGCTTTGCATGCCGCTGCTGTTTGACTTCGCCTTCTGCCCAAGCCTGCATCTGCAGCCGAGACAGTGAAGACACGAAATGACAAATCATGTCGCAAAGTCTTGCTTAGTGATTACTGTGTATTTAGGGTATCTTCTATCACGTACAACATCACGCAGGCAAACTATTCAACGTGTGCCATATCTAGAATATGGCTCGTGGCATAGCATAAGCAAGTGGATCAGGCTCCAGGCACTTGAATGAACAGCGAAACATGGCTCGTGCCTGCCACCATTCTGGACAGCGCGCTGCCAAGGCACGGTCCCAGTGCCTCCGCGCTGAGGAGGCCTGGAAGCCAAAGAGCTCTTTCGAGTTGTCAGAACGGAGGAAGAAGTGGCTGAGCTCACCCCGACGTGCTCCGACACATGTGCTCACCAGCCTCGAGCCCACGGCACTGCAGCGCCGCAAGGACGCTCTCCTTGCCTTGCATGGAGAGATGCAGACCGCGAGGTTTCGGAGTTGGAAGGGACGGGGTGCTGTTATCTCCAGCCAAGTTGCTCACCGGGCGCTTGTCTGCCACAATGGTGCCATGCAGCTTTCTCGTGGCAACCTTCGGGCGCTACAAAAACTGGAACTGCATCAGGAGGCCTAGGGCTGCAAAGGAGCGTGAAAACATGCAGTGAACTTGGTTGACTTAGCCTTGGAAGCCAATCAATATCTCCAGCGGCCTCGTACCAAACCCTTGCGCATGGCGGTTTGCCGGGCTTGTCCTCCACAAAGCTGCTGGCAACAAATGCAACTGCTTAGTTTCGCTGGTCCATCTTACCAGCAAAAAACACAGGCATAGCAAAGATTGAGACATCAATGTTCTAAGCTGCCGGAGAGGGTAGCACAAAGGGCCATGCTGCACTGGAGAGATCAAGCCATCCTACGCAAGTCCTTTCTCAGCTCTACTGTCAGCAGCACTTCCGTCCCGTGGGGCTCCACGATGTGGAAGTCCTTCAGGCAAGCCGGAACATGGGTTCGAGACTGTGCGAAGCGTGAGTGCGATATAGTCCCCATCTAGGACGGGCCCACCAAATGCCTGCAAAACCGAAAAGCGGCCACTCTGAGTTCTGCTGCTCCAAAAACTACCCGAAAAAGATGGGCATCCAGCAGTCCCGGCCATGCAGCGTGGCTCCATCCGTGTTCACAGCGACCTGCGTGGACATCGCCTCCCAGGGTGGGTTTGTGTTCTTATACCTCTGTGCATGGAAACATTTTTAGCACTCGCATGGAAACATGCATAGGGTGATACTTGTGTTTATATCCATCTATCCCTCCATCCTCCCATCCGTCCATGCATGCATGCACATACACAAGCACATACACATGCATGGGCACGTGCACGTGCATGGAGACACAGGCACGGACACAGACGTATACATATACAGATATACAGATACAAGCACATGCATGCAGACATCGCGTCGGGGTAGGATTAAAACGTCAACGGTCTGTAACTGTACGAAAATATGTTTGGAGATCTGCTGCTGTCAGTGCTCTATATTTATATTCGTCCCGCAGGTGTTCAAAAGCTTGGGTCCGAGCAGGGTTCTGTGCTCCCTTAGACTTGGAGTATGCAACATGTGTAAAACAAGGACCCATTGTCACGATTAGTGACTCAGCTAGTGTTACGTTGAACCTTAAGAACACTTGTTCTGATACTCTCCACAGCCATCCATGTCTACAATTGCATCTACTATGGTCGTGCCGCCCGCATCCGCCGCTCTTGAAGCTCTTGTGTGTTACTTCTTATTTTCCTTCTTGCTGTGGCACCGGTGGTACTGCTCATGATGTTGCGCTGCTCCAGACGGCGACGCGAGTCGACAATCAGATCATCTCTGACATCATGCTCAACATCATCATTGTCGTCGTCATCTTCATCACCAGTACCATCAACAGAATAGCGGCCACCATCCCCTTACAACCCTCATAATTAAGCATTGGAATGCATGTCTGATGCGGGAAACTACTGCACAGATTGCCGCTTTCCGCACAGGGCAGGGGTGGGCCCCAATCCGCGGCAGGAGCAGGGGTGGGGAACCACAGGGGTGGGGGGGGCCGGGACCCGAGAGCATATACATATACATACACACACACACGTGCACGCTACACACTTGTGCATGTATGAAACGTGCGTGCGCGTGTGTTGCGCATGTCTCGGGGATTCGGCTTCTTCGTTGTTCAACCCCGCAACCTCATCAAAGCCCGAGCCCGCCTCGCGATCCCCTGGCACGAGGATGTTCTGCGAGTTCCACGCCTTGTCGACACCCTGGCCGGGCTGCAGCGGGCGAATCCTATTCCACAAGCCGCGAAATGAAGCAAGACTGGTGCAAGCTGCGGTATGGCTGAGCTTTGACACTGCGAAGCTCAAGGCCCTCAGGGGCGGGGCCGGGGAACCGCCAATTGCTGCTTCGGGGCGGCGGGCACAAGACGCCAGTCCCACAGCTTGTTGGCACTCAGGATTTGGAAGGACACAGCGACCTCAAGTCGATGGGGACAGCTTCAACCTTTCGACCAATGGCTACTAGACTGTAGGAAGCATGGTCGTGTAATCGGTGCCCTTCATCGGTTGGGAGTCGCAGTTTACGCATTGGCTGCACGTTCACAGTGCCTCGGTTTAGGAGCTCGGCAAGGCTGACGAAACTTCAGAATCTCATCCCGAATTACGAAGGGTCCTATGCCATGCACTTGTCATCATTTGTCCGAAATATCTCACAACTTTTGCTTTAATGAGGCTTTCCGTGCATCAAACAGATGCTACATAAATCCGTGTGCTCGGCGAGAGCCATTGCTCCTAAACACCACCATGAAACCCAATAGGAACACACATCCCGAAAGTCTCTGAATCTTCTGCGCCCCGGCTTGAAGCTCCGGAAACTCCGGCGAAATACCTAGAGCCCAGAGCCCGCCGAAAGGCAAACACGAACTGCCAGCTGATGGGCATTCCTCGGGCCCAGGGCTCAAGCTCTGTGAGTTAGTAGGTTTGAGGTTTTGGAGTGGTTTCGGGTTCGTAGGCGCATTCCAAGCTAAACCTCGTAATGACCTAGGGTCTATGTTCCATCGACTACCTTAGTTGTAGTACATCATGTATTCTCCAGTGCTTAGGTGCCTGACCACTGCTGGTGCTACAGTCGCACGACACAGTCGTACGACACTATGTAAAGACACAAAATACACCACATGATTGTGACTGCGCAGCTATGTCCGCTATACCTCACCGCATTCAGCGATGTTGCCTCGGAAACCCAGGGACGAACGTAGCTCTGAAATTCCATGCATCTATTGAATCTAGGTCGTTGGTCTTATTCGGACTGCGAGAGACCATTGAAACTTAAGCCGTCTACATTCTGCACAGTCCGACCTGCAGGAGTCAAGATACTCTCCTGCAGTCAATCCTGCGTACTCTGGCCCAAAGCTAGACAGAAGTGATCAGAGGGCTAGGATACACACAAGGTTTCTTTTTGCCTCCTGCCTGGCTAGGACGAGAGGCAACAAAACCCTGTGTGCATCCTAGCCCCCTGATCTGTACAGCGCTTCGGATATAGGCGATATATGGCGATATAGGGTTTGAGCCCTCTCACGCAACGTTGACCCAGAAACTGTTCGCAGACAACCTGTGACCCGATGCCTAACTCAAACGAGCTTGAATCTTACCCGTGGCATACCTCGCCGAAGTAGCCGGCGCCAGATGTTGAGGTCTAACGTCAGTGTCCGAGCTAGGCGGCTGAATGTAAGAATGTAAACCCTGCATCTACAAAGGCCTTGCTTGTCGTCTCCAGATGCGGGTTGCAGTCTCAACGCCAGCTGGTGGATCACCTTGGATCACGCCATGTTGTAATCATATAGCGGCTTACAGGGCTCCAGCAACGAGATGTGCTGCCACCGTTTTGAAGTGGCATGAAGATGTGGTGCAGCGCATACGGATTAACACGCTCTGACACAAGATATACGCAAGGATAGCACTTTTGACTGACACAAGATATACGCAAGGATAGGACTTTGGAGAGAGGGACAAGGACAAGCATTCGGTGCTCATGCATGTGTGCATGTGCGTTTATGCGGATAAAAGTCGTGTTTATGAATGCATGCATGTATGTCTGTATGTATGATCATGTACGTACGTCTGCGCGTACGCAAATATGCACTGAGATCTGTATGTCCCTGTGCTCCGCATGTACACGATCACTTTTATGCCATACCTTTACAGTATGGTTCTTTATGTCAAACCATGAGCGGCTCATGAGCGGACATGCCATTGCGGCTTTTGACAAGGAGAATCGCGACAAGAAGACCTCCAGTCCTGTACGGAAGCAGCTACTTGTGTGCTGCGAATTCGCGTGATATCAATCAGCGAGGCGATGCTGGCCAGACCGTCTCATGCTCCGATCCCAGTCTCGGAGCCAGGCAACAGTAAGCAGGGTACGTATTATCCTGAACAGGTTCGAAGGTCTTGTGCATCAGCCGCGTGACTTGTGTGACTGTGGGCTTGAAGTGCAGTTTTCGCACGACATCCACTGAAAGTCCCTGTGCTGAGAGGCCGCTACACTAACTCACTCAACTGCGGAGTCGCAGCGAAAACAGCCATGCGCGTCAACGGGACACCTCCACTCCGGTCTTGGCCTGGTCGAAGCCGAAAGGGTTGAAAAGTCGCTCCTTCAGATTTCGGAGGCCTGGGCCAACTTTGGACGCAGCGCCTGCCAAATTAGTCACCCAGGATGGGAGCTCGCCAACTCCCAGAAGTTGGCACAGTTCATCGGCGAAGTGCGTGCAGTTCTTGTTGAGCAAATCATACTGCCGCCCACGCCATCGCTTGGCCATGTCGACAAGAAGCATCTGCACTTCGAAAGGGGAGAGGTCCGTGTATCCCATGTGAACGGACTCTCGATACGAGTGCTGTTCGCACTCTCCCGGTGGATTTTCAAATATTCCAGGACCCCGTGGCGTTTGCCCGTAGCTCCACTCTCTACCATGGACTTCCACGGCAGCGTGGAAGGCACCTGTTCCGAAAGGGCGCAATAAGCCGTTAACAAATTGCATCGGCGCAGTGCCAGTCACATCATAGATGTGAACGATGACTGGCGACGGCGCTGCGGTAGGGCAGCAAAGATTGCCCATCTTCTATGAGTATAATCAGAAACCGAAACTTCACCGTTGCGGCCGAGAGCTTTGGGCACGAACGGCTTGAGCCACGAGGTTTGAGAGTCAGAATGCTTTCGTCCGTATGGCTACCAGTGTCTTTCCTGGTAAAATCATCAGCGGGGATAGAGCCGAGGCCACAACACAAAGGCACCGGCGAGCACCATGTCAATAGCCCAACCATAGTAGACTTTAGTACTTGAGTGAACAAAGACAAGTTGATATTCAATGATGCCAATTCCACATCTCACGACGACTTGTGCAAGATGGTGGAGGGTAGCATGTCATACCAAGAACTCGATGGTGTACGCATAAGTACACTGCCAACGCTGCGCGGACATTGGGGAGTCTGGCCGAGGTGCTTCATAGCCGTCCACGCTGCCGACTGCGCTGAAGCGAAAGCCCTGCCGTGCTCAGAGCAGACTGGATGCGAAGTTCAAGTGCAGAAGCTTCCGAGAAAAGGACCACCGCTCCGGAAGATTCAGAGATCCCCAGAACTCCCCAAATCTGTGCTGTGTATGTGAACTCCTGCTAGCCGGAGAGGGCCTGGCTTAAGCTCCAGCTGTTGGAGTCGCAAACCAGGACGAGGGGCTCTTGGCATTCGATCGGTCCTTGATTCAGAGGTTTCTTTGAGTGGGCCCAAATGCAAGGGCGTTCTAGCTAAGTTGCTACCTACAGCTTGACACCAAACGACAATCACTGGTGTGCTTGATTCTAGCCTCGTTTACTTCAGTCCGAGAACATTCTGGTATCAAGGCAACAGTTTCAAACAAGCACCTGCTTGAAGCCAACACGCAGCGTCGCATCGCACTGCCCTAAGCCACTGCCATGTCCTGCCGTGGCTAGCGTAGTTGGCCGTGCTAGTGGTGTCGGCACAGCAGCGGGGCTCGGCTTTGCGAGCCCCTGGCAAGTGTACCTGAGTCTCCGAATTCAATGTTGCGGGAAAGGCTGACCTATGCTGACCTCAGCCACACCCTGGATTTCACGCCGTCAGACAAAGCCGGGATGCCACAGTGTAACGCTCCTCGCCGGTTCCCTCCCAGACATCGCGAGGTGCAGGGTGATGCCTCCGTAGATCTGGTTAATCGTCCGAGCGCACTTTCACTTTCTATCAAGAGTTCTTCATGGCTTGAACTCGTCTTGCAGCATGCAGCAAACGGTACTGCAACTACGATGGCAAGAACTTCACTACGCAATCCAAGCCGATGCTGAAAGAACGGCTAGGCTCGCAGAAAACTACTGCTGCTGCTGCCACCACTAATACCACTACCACTACGACGACGACGACGACGACAACGACGATGACGACTACTACTACTACTCCTCCTCCTCCTGCTGCTGCTGCTGCTGCGACTGCTACTACTACTCACTCCTGAATATTCCTAATACTGCTGCTGCTGCTGCTGCTGCTGCTGCTGCTGCTGCTGCTGCTGCTGCTCCTGCTGCTGCTGCTGCTGCTGCTGCTTACTACTACTGCTACTACTACTACTACTACTACTACTGCTATCACTACTACTATCACTACTACTATCACTACTACTATCACTACTCCTTTCACTACTACTATCACTACTACTACAACTACTACTACCACAACTACTACCACCACCACCACCACCACCACCACCACTACTACTACTACTACTACGACTACCACGACTACTACACTACTAAGTTACTACTGCTACTACTACTACTACTACTACTACTACTGCAACTACCACGACTACTACTACTACTACTACTACTTCTTCTTCTTCCAGACGCAGCAAGACTTCAAGAAGTCTCTCGCTTTGCGGTCCAAGTTTTGGGGCAGGATCTGCATCCCGGCGCTTATGCGCATCCTAGCTATTGCAGGATCCAAAAGCATAGCCTCAAAGGCAGTGCTCCCCGGCCCGAAGGCCCCAAAAGCGAGAGCACCACCTTTTTCTCT